CGTATGTGCACCAATAATTATTTTTTCTTGAATGGAGATTTAGTTACGTATGCTCCACTTTAGTAAAAGAACCACTTTTTTCCATTCAAGGCCTCATCTACTCATCTTTGTCATGAATGTGCTTCTTGTTAGACCCAAATTTTACTGGACAAACTGATATCATATTGAAGCAAATTGTAAAACAATATGAATCTGAAAACAACTAATAAACTAACGTAAACGGATTTGGAATTGAGGTGAGCAGAGTAGAGATTAAGATCTCTCTCTTTAATTCTTTAAACGTATGTAGTGTGCCGGTTTGATACGCTCAAGAATCCCAAGATAAAACTGTTTCATCATGTTGTATCGCATCACTCGAAATCAACATCTAACGAATCCTAAAACTGTGTTGCACTCTCTGACTCAGAAACCAGAGAAAAGAAAAGAAGGAGATTGTTTTGTTTTTCTATGTGTCGATGATGAGAAGAGGAAGACTTGTTCTTATAACAAGCTTTTAACGTGGAGAGGAAATTGGAGTTATAATAATTGATCTCAATCTTTTTTCCATGAGACAAAACAATTGTTTCTTTTTTAATAGAAACAAATCCCACGTACACTACAAAAAAAGATGTTTGTAACATCATTTATTTTGTTTGTTTAAATCAATTATAAATGATGTAAATATATTTTACATCATTTATGTAAGCGACTCTAAAAATGGTGATACAAATATTAACATCAATTAAAAAGACCGATACAAATATTTTCATCATTTATATTAATTGATGCTAATTTGCATCGATTTAAAAAATTGATGCTAATATTTACATCGGTTTAATAATAGATGCCAAATATTGTTTTATCAATTAAATAAAAATCAATTTCGAAAATGTTATAATTGGATTATAATGTAAAAATAATCGTAAATGATTTTTTTACTTAAYGCAATATTTATTTACCTTTAAATAAGCTATCAAAATTCAAAGTCAATGTTGAACTTTGACAATAATATATAATTGAGGGAGTTTAGTTATTTATAAGATTAAAATCTTCTTACCCCCACCTTTAATTATCGATGTGGGACTTACAAAAGTAAGCAAATGATTTATTAAAAATGTGTTAGCATCAATTTCTTAGTGACACAAATTTTACAATCATTTTTTTTAAATGATGCTAACCAAATTTGGTAATTACGTTGGTTAAATAAGGAATGTAAATCAATATTTATGTGTCAATTTTTTAAGTGATACAAATTAATATGGATTTGTATCAATATTATTAAACCGATGTTAAACACGTCAAAAATAATATCAATTACTACAATTGATGTTAAGTCACATGTTTTATATCATTTATTTAATAAATGGTTTAATATTATATCATTTAGGTTTTTGATACTTTTTAAATGATATAAAACACCTTTTTTGTTTGTAGTGGTACCTAACACACATTGTTAGTGGACAGAGTAGAGATAGTGGGATTGATCTCATACACTGATTGACCAATTCAAACCCACTTGATTTTATCTTAAACATTTTATAAATATATAACTAAGTAGAAAAGATAATTTTTTTTTGAATTAATCAACGATATATTCCAAAATAAATTTGGACCAAAAGATTTAATCTTTATAGATCATTGCCCCATTTGCGAAATTTGGAAATCCTAAACAGAAGTCCGGTCCGAGTATCTAATATACCAAAGTGTATCCACTATAATTTATATATTTAACTCATCTACTTTATTTACAAGATGATTTTCATCTAAACTTCCAATATGAGACATTTGCATTTTTGACACAGTCAAATTTACAAGACTTACAAGTTTT